ACTTACCAGCTCTCACGGCCTCGTTCTCCAGCACCACCCTGTTGAAGATGAAGCGGATGTACTTGGAGGGCGACGGAGTCCTCGGGCCCTCCTTGCCCAGCAGGTGCAGGATCTTGGTGGCCAGGACGGTGTGTTCGCAGTCCTCGATGAACTCGCAGAGGTGGGCCAAGCCCGACTCCTTGCTCTCAGGATTCTCCTCGATGATGCTGATGATGCAGTCCACGATGGCTCGCTTGTACTCAAAGCCACCCTAGGAAGGGAAGGACAAGGACACTCGCTCAGCCTGGAAGAGCCCAGACTGCAGCACTGCTCTGCTCTCCTCTCATCAGGCTTTAATTACTTCTTGCCATACAGAAAAGAGACATATTTGCATATATAAAAACAGAAAGAGGCTGGATAACCCTATGGGCTCCTCCCATCTCCAAGCAGCCAACACAGACACATTTCTGAGCCGTCCTCAGAGCAGCTTTTGGTGGTCTAATGCATGAGCACGTTTCGGACAGGTCTGATCCTTGAGAAAAGCTTTGCTAATCAGTCAGGCCTCATCACTGTTGTTTAACATTCACTAATTTAATTAATGTTCACTTAATGTTCATTAAATTAGACTGTTCATGACGTCCAATAAGGCAGGGGACTCCCTTTGTAGTAAGAGAGCTACCAAAAACAACACGTGGAAAGTGTTAAACATACATCATCCCTGAGCATGTTGGAGAGGAAGGTCATCATGACGCTGTGCTTCCGGGGGTATTTCTGGCACAAAGCACTTATTGCCTGCACTACAACCACCTGAAAAACAACAGAGAAGGATGTTAGTCCCGTGCGCTTATTCCTCTAGGGAGAGCACAAGCTTCTCACGCAGGCATCATCTCCATCTGTCACCACAACAGGTTAAATTCATGTACAAAAAGGGAAAAATCAGTTTATGGACTCTCAGCATGTATTACCCATTCCTCTAGGCTGGCATGTTGCCAGGCCTGGCCTTAATAGACAGACTATATTTAGGACAGACTAGGTTAATTCAAAGGTCTTCCTTCCCTCCCTCCACCCAGTCAGGATGGCATCTCAATTCTAACTTAAATAGTTACATTTTGTCATTAAAAACATTTGCAATTTCAAACTCTTTGTATTTCCCCATGAAAACAGCTAGGTAAGAGCACCACAGACTGGTAGACCTTGATTTTGTACAGAGATGTCACGTTCCTCGAGACAACTCTATAATGAAAAGGGAGCAAACGTACAGGTGAACTACCTGCCTTAAGTTATTACCTGAGTCTGTAGCGACTAAACAAATTAATTGGAAATCTACAATTTATGCTTCTTAACTATGAGACTGAAATGATAAAGATTCAATTAGAATGGTTAAAATCACCCTTCTCCAAAGAGGCAACCAGAATACGAAGCCTTGCAGGATACTGCACCAGAGCCACGAACCCACCAAAGGATTTTTATCCTTTTTTTTTGGTGGGGAGCAGCAGGCGAAGAGCAGGGGGGAATGCAACAGCACATTTAGTCAGTTAAAAAACAGAGCATCACACTTTCTGCACTTCAAAGCTGGCTCTGCTGTGCCAAACCAAGTCACTGAGGGTTTAATAAATGGGGAAAACTCCATAAAAACAAGAATGGGAGAAAAACCTGCAGCTGGAAAGAGCAGAGGCCTCCAATGCCACACCTTAAACTCATCTGATATTTCTGAGACGAAGGAAGAGATCTGTTTCATGAGCCTGTCTACACTGCTCTCACTCCCTGTCTTGAGCAGGGTGGTGATGGCGAGAGTGGCAATGCTCCGGTTGGAGTCCGTGATGAGGTTTTCCAGGTCCAGGTTGCAGGCGGTTACGGCAGACGGATGCTTCATGGCCACCTGTAAAGGGAATTCCAACAATTAGGTGGGAGCAGCAGCATTCTGCAATTCAAAACTTTATGTATGGTAAGGATTAAAGCTCTTGCTTTTTCAAGAACTGCTCTGTTCCACACGTAATGCAACGCTGTGTGACTAAACATACATTTATTCAGATTCCATGATTGTTGGCAGGATATAACCAAGGCCCAGGTTTTCACATTTCAGCTTCTAAAATGATCTCCTCTGGCTGCAAATAACAGCTCCTAAGTTGAACAGTCCCCAGCCATGAGCCAACCCCTGCTCTGTTTCTCTCACGGTGTTCAGCTTTGAAACCAGAACGTTATTTTACTTCCTTCACCCATTTCACAGCATTAAAAATGTGAGACTCTACTTCTTTACTGTTTAGAGATCACAGGTTTCTCAACTATAACTGGCTGAAGTCCTGTGGTGCAGAAATGGCCACACACAGCTTGAGTCCGGATAAGATTTCTGTCACAACAGGAGATCTGGCATGCAAAAACCAATCCTCCAGCATGGAATAATTCTGAATTCAGCAACCACAGGAGCAATTGCTCTATTTTCCACAACACACCATTAGGCACTGAGGTCTGTCTTCCTCTGCTGCTCTGAGATTTAGGTGTATTTAGAAGATCTTGGAAGCACTCACTTTATTAAGGGTCCGTACAGCTGCGTATCTCAATACAGGTTTGGGAGAACTACAGAAAAGCTGCAGCACTGAAAATAAAGAATAAGGAGAAGTAACTCATGACAAAATATTAGAGATTCTCTAACAAAAACTGGCTCCCAATACTCTAGGCACCTGTAACCTCTGGGGAGGGAAGAGCCTTTAGGCACAGAGTTTCCCAAGCCAGGTAACATCTGGGAAGTTGCCTCAATTCAATTCTTTGGTGTTGAGAGCTGCAAACACTGCAGTCAGAATTCACCACAGCAGGAAAACAGATCCTGGCTCTTTCCAAGGAAAAGGAGAAAAGTCTAAAGGGTCCACATGCAACTACGTATTGCTATATACAGTTCACACAGCTCCACTCAGCATTTCCTAGTTTCATAATCAAATTAAAAGCAACCTCCTGTTTTTTTTTTT